TTGATGATATGTAGTAGTAGAGCCAAGTTACAATAATTTTAATTGGTAACATGTGGTATTATTGGATTAGTTTGATTTATAGGTCTAAATCATTAATAACTCAAAATGTTATCAATCATGCATTAAATTCACTTTTTTAATTTTAAGTTTGAGGTATCATGTTGTATCTTTGAGTTATGATTTTGAATTATATCCTTTGTAAATTTGATAACTCAAAACTTAATGCAACATCAAGAAAAAAAAATCTATGATTTAGAAATTGAGTTAGGATTTTCATGATTCTTGGATGTTTTAAAATAAACCAAGACAACAAAAAAAAGTCAAATACTACTTTCAAAGATTTCTATAATGTTATCATAAGTTATAACTCTTTATGAAATAATACATATTGCGTTTTCATATAAAAATACATATTGCAACTTATTTTTTTGTCATATTTTATTTATACATATTAAAAGTAAAAATTATTATTATTTATTTATTATTTTTAAAATTAGTTAATGTAACTATTTATTTTGGTTACTAATGATTTTTTAATTTAAAGTTTATGCTATTATTATTTCACTTAATTTATTTTTCTTATTTTTAAATTAGTGATTATAATTTTTAGAAAACATTTTTATTTTTATGCATATATTAACATATTTTTATTATTTATTTATTTTAAATAGGTTATTTTGATTTGTTTTAATTAAGTATTTTATTATTTATATATTTATATTTTAATTATTTTATTGAATTAAATCATACAACATCAAAAAGTTACCAATCATCAGTTTTACTAAAATAGTAACTCTTATTTTTATTGTAAAGATACCACATAAATCTATATTTTCTACCACATAATTTTTACTGAAAATTATATCAAATTACAAAATATATTTCTACTAAAATTTAATATTCTGTGGTAAGAATTGTAGATTTATATGGTAAATTTTCTGTGAAGATTTTGAGTTACTCTTTTGTCAGCATAATTGATTGATAACATTTTTAATGTATAAATTGTAGTATGTATTATGGTAAAAATATAAAGAATATTTATTATAAATTTAATAAAAATTAAAATAAATTAAATTTAAATAAATATATTTATGTATATATATAAACAATAGTTTATGTACATAGCTTTTTAGTTAAGAAAAAAATTGTAATTAAAAATTATAAACATAAAATCATAGGATAGAGACTTTTAATTATCAAACAAAATTAAGAACTAAACATAAAACAATTTGGATTAACTAACTAAAGTATTTTTTTTATTGAAAATTAACTAAAGTGATATTATTTTCTTAGAAAATCTATGGCTAACAAGCAGGTATTTTATTAAAATAGTGTTTTCATTAATAGCAATTAAACGTACAAGTACAACTATATGATCATGTATTATAATTTTTTAATTTACTAAAAAATAAAAAAGAACACGAGATAGTTAACAACAAACCAAAAATTTATTTAACTCAAGTAATACACGAGATTTTATTGATGTTGATTTAAAATTTGATTCATCACTTATAGTTCAAAATAGTAACTCAGTAATATTATATTCTAACTCAAACGTAACATCAAAAACTCAAAACTAATTCATGATTGATAACATTTTTTATTTTTATGCATATCTTAAACTAAATCAACCGTACTATATATTACCAATCAAAGTATATAAGACACCGGATTTTGAGTTTCTTTCTGAAAAATGGATTTTAAGTTTTTAACCCCCAAAAATGTGGGCTTGTAGCTAGGCTAGGCTATGCTATGCTGGACCAATGACATTTGTTGCTGTATATTCTAAGAATAACTAAAATTGTATAGATTCAACGTAACTAAAAAAAAAATAAGAGTTAGGTTTGGTTCGGCTTAGATGTACATAACAAAACGAATAAACCTTAAAATGGCATCACATTCCTTTGTCTCTCTATTAATATCTGATTCTCTCATTTAGGAAAAAACATCACATTCCTTTTTCTAGTTCCCTGGTTTCTTCTTCTTCCTAAAAGAGACCGAACCATTCAAGATGGTTTTGTGGGTATTCGGATATGGATCTTTAACTTTAACATGGAACCCGTGTTTCGATTTTGACAAGAAACTCATTGGCTATATTAAAACTACAAACGCGTCTTCGATCTTGGTATGTTTCCAAGATACATGTTCTTGAATACTCAACAAAGAAATAGATCAATGTCTAAAGAATTTTGAATTTTTTGCAGCTTGTATTGATCATAGAGGAACGCCTGAACATCCTGCAAGAACTTGCACGTTGGAGCAATCCACTGGAGCTATATGTGTAAGAAAAAACATATGTTATTTTTATAATAATTATTATTAAATGGTTAATATTCTTTATAACACAATTATTATTATTTTTGGTAAAAACTGTTATTATTATTAATAAAAACATTACTTAAATCGTTGATATTTTGGACAATGGGGGGGGCTGCTTATTGTGTCCGTGGAGGACCTGAGAAGGAGAAGCTAGCCATGGAGTATTTGGAACGAAGAGAGTGTGAATACGAATCTCAAACCCTCGTCGAGCTTTACACTATAAAGACTTTGTTGGATTAAGCTTGAGAGACAAGCAACCTAATTCTATTGAGTTATAGAATAGGAAATTATCTATTTGTCTATACCTAATGAGTTTAAGAAATAGAAAGATATATATCTCTATAATATTATTTGAGAAGCCACTTTCTTAGGTGTCGTGCTCACGTTAACTCTCACGCCGGTTGATTACTATGATATCCCTAATAAATTAAAAATATATTTAAATATTATTATTTCCTTTTTAAAATCTTCCAAATAACAATATAAAACAAAAAGGAAATATTTATAAAATTTAAAAAACTATTTAAAAACGAAAAAATTATATATATAATATGGTTTCATAAAAAACGAAAGTTTACAAAATAGTAATATTTAACTTAAATATATTTTTAAATAACATAAATTATACTTTTTAAGTAATTATAAGTATTTATATCTATATCTTCTTATATGAAAAAAATATATTTGTATATAATGTGTTTTCATAAAAAAAGTTCATACAAATAATCTTGATATTAGAAAAAGAAATATTATTTCATTAAAAAATAATTTAAACAATAAAATATATATTTTCAAAGTAATTAGTTTTTGTATATATCTATCTAATTGATTAGATGATTACATAAAATAATTAAGTAACATAAAATGTTTAATTGGCAAAATATATAATTAGTATATTTATTTGGTTATAATATCTTACAGTTACAGCAAAAAATATAAGTTATATTTTACTTATATAATATAGTTTCTAAAAAAAAATCACATTTTTACGCATATTTTATGAGATATTAAAAACAAAACTAAAAATAAATTTAATAATAAACATCTTTTGATAAAATAACTACAATTCTTTTAAAATATCATAACACTATATAATTTAACGAGGTAGATATATTATATTTTAATAGTTAAAAATATCTGTTTTCTTAATAACTCTTTTGATGTTTAATTTTCTGCTTTATCTTTGTCGAATTTAATATAATCATAATGAAAATACTTAAACAAATCAGAATTCCTTATTTTTTAAATTATTTAAAATAAATTTCAGTTTACCATCCAATCAATCTAAGGCATAAATTATTTAAAATTTATAAAATATTTAATTCTTGTAAATATTGATATGTGTTCATAAGCTTCCAAATTTTATTATTACTTATGTATGTAATTTAGAATCAGACACTCTAATTTTTATTTTTTTCGTTCTAAGCACAAAAAATCTTAAAATACATAATCTTACTAAGATATACTTATATTTCTAAGATAACAACCAACGTAAATGTAAATAAAACAATTAATCAGAAAATTAAGATATTTAGAATAAAAAATATTATAGTCTCTATAATATTATTTGAGAAGTCACTTTCTTAGGTGTCGCGCTCACGTTAACTCTCACGCTGGTTGATTACTATGATACCCCTAATGAATTAAAAATATATTTAAATATTATTATTTCCTTTTTAAAATCTTCCAAATAACAATATAAAACAAAAAGGAAATATTTATAAAATTTAAAAAACTATTTAAAAACGAAAAAACTATATATATAATATGGTTTAATAAAAAAGGAAAGTTTACAAAATAGGAATATTTAACTTAAATATATTTTTAAATAACATAGATTATACTTTTAAAGTAATTATACTTTATATCTTCTTATATGAAAAAATATATTTGTATATAATGTGTTTTCATAAAAAAAAGTTCATACAAATAATCTTGATATTAGAAAAAGAAATATTATTTCTTTAAAAATAATTTAAAAAATAAAATATATATTTTCAAAGTAATTAGTTTTTGTATATATCTATCTAATTTATTAGATGATTACATAAAATAATTAAGTAACATAAAATGTTTAATTGACAAAAAAATATAATTAGTATATTTATTTGGTTATAATATCTTACAGTTACAGCAAAAAATATAAGTTATATTTTACTTATATAATATAGTTTCTGAAAAAAATCACATTTTACTGCATATTTTATGAGATATTAAAAACAAAACTAAAAATAAATTTAATAATAAACATCTTTTGATCAAATAACTACAATTCTTTTAAAATATCATAACACTATATAATTTAACGAGGTAGATATATTATATTTTAATAATTAAAAATATCTGTTTTCTTAATAACTCTTTTGATGTTTAATTTTCTGTTTTATGTTTGTGGAATTTAATATAATCATAATCAAAATACTTAAGCAAATCAGAATTCCTTATTTTTAAAATTATTTAAAATAAATTTCAGTTTACCATCCAATCAATCTAAGGCATAAATTATTTAAAATTTATAAAATATTTAATTATTGTAAATATTGATATGTGTTCATAAGTTTCCAAAATTTTATTATTACTTATGTATGTAATTTAGAATCAGACACTCTAATTTTTATTTTTTTCGTTCTAAGCACAAAAAATCTTAAAATACATAATCTTACTAAGATATACTTATATTTCTAAGATAACAACCAACGTAAATGTAAATAAAACAATTAATCAGAAAATTAAGATATTTAGAATAAAAATATTATAGTTGAATTCAGAGAAATAGATAGAATATATATATATATATATCTAAATGATAAAACTAACTAAATGTAAAATATATCTAAAATTATATATAACTAAAATAATACAATATTATTAATATAAATTCTACATAAAAACTATAAATTAATATAAGTCAAAGTAAATATCAATCAACTATTATAATATCTTTATTTTATAAATATTTATGTCCGTGCATGAGCACGGGAAAATCACCCAGTATATATAGAGATGCTAAGGTGTAGCATATCTAAGAAGTTTTATGAGCTTGAGAAGTTGTGTGTGCTTAAGGTTTTTGTGATAATTTTTCTTAAGAAAGATTAATAAGAAGTGTTCTTATTTTGTGAGTTAATCCAAGTGTGTTCGTGATACTTGATTTCAATATTTGGTATCAGAGCGGATCGATCAATAGAGATGGGGGATTTGGTCACGACGACGGTCAAAAAAAATGGAAGTCTTTCTTCTGCAAACTATCCAGATGTTAACAGCAACTAATTACACCGTATGGGCTATACGGATGAATACTTTGCTGAAAGTACATGAAGCTTGAGATGTAATCGAGACTGAATCAATAGAAGGAAAGAAGAATGATGTTGCATTAAACATATTATGGCAGTGCATCCCCGAGTCTTTAATCTTGCAGGTCGGAGAACTCGGTAACCCAAAGAAGGTATGGGACGCGATTAGAACTCGTCATGTAGGAGCTGATAGAGTACGAGAAGCACGACTGCAAACCCTAACAACAGAGTTCGACCGATTAAAGATGAAAGAAACCGATAAAATTGATGACTTCGTGGGAAAGTTATCAGAATTATCTTCAAGGTCAGACGCATTAGGCAAAAATATGGATGAATCCAAGCTTGTTAGGAAGTTCTTGAAATGCTTACCAAGGAAGAAGTACATCCAGATCGTTGCCTCCATAGAACAGATGTTGGATCTAAACACCATGACCTTCGAAGAGGTTATAGGGCGTTTAAAGACATATGAAGAAAGAATTCATGACGAGGAAGAAAGCACACAAGAAGATCAGAATAAGCTCATGTATACAAATACGGAATCATCAACAAACCGTGAATCTAATGGAGAATACAGAGGACGAGGTCGAGGTGGTCGACATTATGGTAGAGGTAGAGGACGAGGACGTTATAATGGTGGAAGAGGAGACTATTATAATGGTGGAAGAGACTATTATAATGGTGGTAGAGGAGACAATAATGCTGGAAGAGATCCGTACGCAGGAAGAGATGCATCTCGCATCACCTGTTTTCGTTGTGATAAAGTAGGCCACTTCGTTTCTCATTGTCCAGACCTGAAACTTAAGCTGCAAGAAGCTCAAGAAACCGAGAACACCGAGACACAAGAAGCTGATGAGCTCATGATGCATGAAGTTTTCTTTTTAAACGAGAAAATGTCGTACCTGAGAAGTATGAGACAAACAATGAAGATGACAACATATGGTATCTTGATAACGGAGCTAGTAATCACATGAACGGAGATCAAAGGTATTTCTCAAAACTTGACAACACAATCAGGAATAAAGTTCGTTTTGGAGACGATTCTAGAATAGATATCAAAGGAAAAGGTACAATATCCTTCATAGATATGAATGGAGACTCTCGAAAGATGACCGATGTCTATTTTATTCCTGATCTCAAAAGCAATATCATTAGCTTGGGGCAAGCTACCGAAGCAGGGTGTGATGTACGAATGAATGGAGATATGCTCACAATGCATGATCAAGATGGAAAATTGCTAGTTACAGCAAAAAGGTCGAGAAACAGATTATACAAAGTTCGAATGAGATTAAAGAGTGCATCATGTCTCTATCTAACCGCAGACAATGAATCAAGTAAGTGGCATGCTCGCTTGGGACATGTAAACTATGAGACTATACAAAGTATGATGCAGAAAGAACTAGTCCTTGGACTACCGAGTGTTAATATTGAGAAAGAAGTATGCAGATCATGTCTTCTTGGGAAACAAAGCAGTCAAGTCTTCCCGAAAGCAACACTATATCGAGCCAGTGTAGTACTAGAACTCCTACATGGAGATCTTTGTGGTCCCATAACTCCAAGCACACAGGCTGGAAACAAATAGTGTTTGTTGTCATTGATGATCATAGCAGATATATGTGGACAATGTTATTAAAAGAAAAATCAGAGGCTTTTGATAAGTTTAAAAGGTTGAGAAGCATTGTGGAGCAAGATACAAAACAGAAGATACAGACCTTCAGAACAGAGAGAGGAGGAGTGTTTGTTTCACAAGAATTCAACTCGTATTGTGACAATGCAGGAATAAGGCGACATCTCACCGCACCATACACACCGCAACAAAATGGTGTGGTTGAGCGCAGGAACCGCACCATGATGGAGATGACAAGAAGTCTTTTAAAGCACATGAGTCTACCAAATTATTTGTGGGGTGATACTATACGACATGTTACTTGTCTACTCAATAGGCTAGCCACGAGATCATTGAAGGATAAATCTCCATATGAGTTATTTCGAAACAAGAAGCCTAATGTGAGTCATCTGCGTTGGATATGCAAAAATAGAAGACATACATCTGAAGAAGCTTGATGATAGATCTCAGATGTTGGTTCAATTGGGAATAGAACCAGGATCTAAAGCCTATAGATTGTATGACCCACGAACTAAGAGGGTAGTAGTAAGTAGAGATGTTGTTTTTGATGAATCAAAGAGTTGGGAGTGGAACAAAGAAAACGTGGAGATGGGAAATAAAAGCTTTACAATACAAATTGGAAAGTTTGGGAACCACGGCATTAGTGGAGACGAAGACACAGAGCATACAAGTGACGCTGATCACGAACCTGTTGAAGAAGCTGAACATGAAACACTGACACAGAACCCTGAAGAAGAAGAAGAGGAAGAACTGAAGCACAGCCTCAAAACGTAAGACGGTCGGAGAGACAAAAGGTGAAACCTAAGTACCTTGATGATTACATTCTTTTGGCTGAAGAGTTAGGAGAATAGATACTTATGTATCTAAATAACGAGCCAAGAAACTTTGAGGAAGCGAAAGAGTCTAGGTATTGGACGAAAGCCTGCGAAGAAGAGATGGAATCCATAATTAAAAAAAACATGGATTCTAGTAGACTTGCCATATGGAGCCAAACCTATAGGGTTAAAGTGGGTTTTCAAACTGAAATGCAACTCTGATGGAAGTATTAGCAAATACAAGGCTCGGCTCGTTGCAAAAGGATACGTGCAACGCCATGGGATTGACTACGATGAAGTGTTCGCACCAGTAGCAAGGATTGAGACAATACGACTTCTTTTAGGTCTCGCTGCAGCAAGTGGATGGGAAGTACATTATCTTGATGTAAAAACAGCTTTCCTCCATGGGGAACTAAAAGAAGTGGTCTATGTTACACAACCAGAGGGTTTCGAGAAGAAGGGATGTGAGGGTAAGGTATATAAGCTCAACAAGGCGTTGTATGGACTGAAAAAAGCTCCAAGGACTTGGAACCATAAGCTAAATCAAAAACTATACGAGCTTCAGTTTGAGAAGTGTGCAAAGGAGCCTTCAGTGTATCATAAGGTGATCAATGGAGAGCTTCTCGTGGTTGCTGTGTATGTAGACGATTTGTTTGTCACCGGAACAAACAAGACTAACATTGATGACTTCAAAGAAGACATGTCAAGAAGATTTGACATGAGTGACTTGGGAAAGTTATCACACTATCTTGGTATTGAGGTAAGTCAACATGAAGATGGAATCACTTTGAATCAAAGACACTATGCATCTAAGATACTGGAGAATGCGGGACTGATCAAGTGTAATCCAGTTCTTACACCAATGGAGCTCAGCTTGAAACTGTGAAAAGCAGAGGATGAAAGAGAAGTTGATGCAACAATGTATCGGAAGAATGTTGGGTGTCTACGGTATCTTCTACACACAAGACCGGATCTATCTTTTGCAGTTGGAGTACTTAGCCTTTACATGCAAAGTCCAAGAGATTCACATGGAGTCACTATGAAGCAAGTGCTGAGATATCTACAAGGAAGTATGTCGTATGGACTGATGTTTGCGCGCTCTATAATGAAAATACCGAAGCTTGTTGGGTATAGTGACAGTAGCTATAATGTAGATCCAGACGATGGAAAGAGCACAATCGGTCATATCTTCTATGTTGACAACAGTCCCGTCTCATGGTGCTCACAGAAGCAGGAAGTAGTGGCATTATCAAGCGGCGAGGCAGAGTTCATGGCTGGAACTGAAGCTGCACGACAAGCTATATGCTTGCAAGATTTATTAAGCGAGATAACCGGACAGCAAAGCAAGAAGGTGGTGATACGCATCGACAATCAGTGTTATTGCTTTAACAAAAAATCCAGTGTTCCATGGGAAAAGTAAGCATATACATAGGAGGTATCACTTCATCCGAGAGTGTGTAGAAAACGGCCAGATTGAAGTTGAATATGTTCAAGGAGATAAACAGAAAGCTGACATTTTGACAAAGGCTCTAGGAAGAATTCGATTCAAGGAAATGAGAGACTACATTGGAATGAATGAGACTTCAAGCTAAAGGGGAGAATGTTGGATTAAGCTTGAGAGACAAGCAACCTAATTCTATTGAGTTATAGAATAGGAAATTATCTATTTGTCTTTACCTAATGAGTTTAGGAAATAGAAAGATATATATATAGAGATGCTAAGGTGTAGCATATCTAAGAAGTTTTATGAGCTTGAGAAGTTGTGTGTGCTTAAGGTTTTTGTGATAGTTTTTCTTAAGAAAGATTAATAAGAAGTGTTCTTATTTTGTGAGTTAATCCAAGTGTGTTCGTGATACTTGATTTCAATAGACTTGTTGTTGTTCTTGTTTTTTGTTGTTGTATTTTCCAATTCTAGATTTGTTTTAATGTAGTTTATATTCATTGGATGCAGACTGACACCTTCGAACCAATCTTGACCGGAGTTATAGTGTATGTTTGTAACCTCTCCTCTGGTCGCTTATTTTTCAAGATTCAAAGTTACAGTCAGTTTTGTGTGTCTCTCTCTTGTGTAGCTTTACGTCAACTCAAGACAAAGTGTCGAACAAATACTACTTAGGCCCTGCTCCATTGGAAGAGATAGCGATGCAAATAGCCACAGGTTCGGGACCTTGTAGGAACAACCGAGAGTACCTTTTCAAGCTTGAGAGAGCAATGCACGACATTGGTGAGGCTTTGCATTAAAAGAAAAAAAAATGTAAGTTTTTTGGCATTGGTTTGTTTTAATGAATGTTGTGAAAACAGAGCATGAGGAAGAGTATATGACCGAATTGGCGAACGAGGTGAGGAAACAGCTAAACTTATCAAAAGAAGTGAAGGCATTGTTGAAGCCTGTGGTTACTCGTGTGCCCATCAAATCTCAGTCTCAAGCTCATGTATCCACTCGCCAACGGGTCCTTGCATCATGAGAGATGACAAGCAAGCAATGTCATGGAGCCAACTAACTACATTTTGGGGATGATTAAGGATGTGATACTCTTTCTATTTGACGTTTTATTTGATATAACATGTTTAGATTTGAAAAGTTTGGATTTTTAAACTTAGTGATAACTTTTCATGTGTATTCAGTGAGAATTTATGACACCAAGGCATGAGATTTATTGACTTTGACATTTTTGATTGAATGACTTCTTTTTTTTGTTGCGTAACTTGATTGGATGACTACAAAACTGTTAACTTCAGTTCATTTTGGTTGTTTCTATTTTAATGGGTTCTTATAAGGTCCATTTTGATTATGGCTATTGGCTACTCTAAAACTGGGTCATTGTACTAATGAGTAATGAGCTACATAAGTATGAAGTAAAAGAAAACAGCCAAAAAACTCTAAAGTTATGAATAAAACCAAATAATCTTGGCTGTTTAGCAAAACCAACCCACAAATTGAAGTCAATTGCAAAACCAAACTCTTTTTTTTTGTCATTACTATTCATCCATGAAATTTCCAAATCATCCTTATGTTTTTGAAATATTTACAGAATTGCCATTATTATTTGTTTTTTAATTATTCGAAAATTACAAAAAACCAATTACACCCTAAAATTTTCTTTTTATTTACAACAATGTCATCTTCATCAATTTTCAACCACCATGAACCACCATTTTTTAAGCTCTTTAAACCTCTCAAATTCAATTTTCAACTACTTTTTCTCATTCTAAACCAACAAATCTCCACTTCCTCTCATTTCCTCTCTATTTTCATCTAAAAAACTCTCATACTTTCTTTTTCATAAGCATAACTTCATTATTTCGAGTATACTCTGTTGTTGGTCGTCTAAGCTGCTTCTTTTTCTTCATCTTTGGAGCTTGGACGGTGGAAAATGGTGGAAACGAGCTTTACACCGGAAAAAGGTACCTATTTACATGATTTTCGTCATTTTTCAGATATGTGTCGCGATAGTAGGCTGTATCGTATGTGTACGCTTACATGTAGGCTTACGATGCAATCTACATGTCAACGCACATGTTAGTTTTGCAATTGAGCAGAATAATTGTTTATGCAAATTAGACTTCTCTGTAAGTCTACGTCATTACCTTTGATAACAAAAACAAAAAATGAGGTAGACTTACAAAGAAGTATACGTAAAAGAGGTTAGTTTTGCATTTGACCAAACTTTTGACTTTTCAATGTAGTCTTCGTCAGACTGTAGACTTCTGGAGAAGTTTACAAAAAAGTTTGTTTTGTATTTGACCCAAATTTGACTCCGTTGAATATGTTAGTTTTGTATTTGACTAAAATGTTAAAAGGTTGACAAAAAAGAAAAAAAAGTGTAGACTTTAATTATAGTACACTAATTTCAAAAAAGAAAAACGATAGACATCACATGAAGTCTACTATTTTATTTTGGTCAAATGCAAAACTAACCTCCCATATTTGTGGGTAGACTTCGTATGAAGTCAACATCTATGTAGACATTTGTTTTCGTTTACTAATAAAAATTCAAACTTGGTCAATTGCAAAACTAACCTCTGTAAATAAAAATCCAAACATGTAGACTATTTCTAAAGTCTACTTTAGTAAGTCAAATCTTGGGTGATTTTTGGTCAACTGAAAAAACTAACCTATTTGATATGTAGACTGAAATGGAAATCTACATGTATAAAATCACAATTTTTTTCAAATATAGACAGTAACCCGTAAAATTTTTAATTGCAAAAACTAACCTAAATAGAAGACTGCATATGGAGTCTACATGTGTAAACTGTAACGAAAGTCTATATTTACGCAGACTGCTTATGGATTCTACGTTTGAAAATACATTAAAAGTGAATTTGTGTATTACTCATTAAGTTTTTTTTTCAAGATTTTTTTGTTTGACAGTGTGTGTTAGTTAACATAATATGTTTAAGTGATTTTTAGAAGAAAATATGGTATATTTATGAAATTATGATACTTTTGATTTGATCATGTAGTTAGCTAATAATCACAGACGTATTGGTAAGTCTACTTTATAGTTTTTTTAAACATGATCGCTAACTATGTAAATTTTCTTTTTTTTCACAGAAAATTGCTCAGTTACTTGTTGTTGTGTATGAAATTATGTTTAATTTGTAGGCTTCTTTGATATTGTTATGAAGTGTTAAGCAAGTATTATTTCTGTAATGTAGACTTTTTAAAATGTGTACAACAAAATCAGACTTCTTTATTAGTCTGCAGGTAGGAAATTAGACAAACACTAAAGTTTACTCTCTTTTATTGCTATTGGAGTTGTATTAATTTGTATTATTTGTCTCTTTTGTGCTCAAAATCTCTAAAATTGCTATAAAACAAGTCTTCAGATTACATAATTCTAACACATTCATTATTGTGTGTTAGTTGTTGTTTTAACTTATGGTAGTTTTTAACTGTTTGGCTGACTAGAGTATTTTTTTTGAAAAACTGATTGCTAACAAAAATTAATAATATCATACAAGTGTAACACAATTAAAAAATCAATACAATGTTTATTGATTATGTATCAGAATATTTATTTACAAATGAATATTTTGTAAAGATAAATTATTACAAAGCAATTTCTTTTAAAACTCTAGAGTGTTTGATTATTCATAATTTTGATATCTCAAATGAAATCTTGGAAAAGGGTACCTGCAAAATAAGATAAAATTATGAGATAAACATAAGGTAAACATATTCAAATTATTTTTATTAGACTTCATAAAAGTCTACTTAAAGTTGATGGGTTCAATAGACTTTCTTTAAAGTCTACTAGCCTTAATTTCTAAACAAACTTCATGCCAAAAAAAAATTTCAGATCTAAAAATGTAGAATTACAAAATTAGAAAATAGTATTTTCTGCAAAATAATTCAAAATAGTGTTTAACCTAAAATTATCAAAGAAAAAGCATAGAGCTTATATCTATAAATTTAGTTTTATATAAACAAAAAAAGTAAAATTTTAAGTGAATATATGTAAATCTTACATTTTTGGAATACAATTTGAAAAAATTGGAAGAGAATACCTGCAAAGTAAAATATAATTATGAAAAAATATAAGACAAAAAAATTAAAATCATATTTGAGTAGACTTCTAATGAAGTTTTTTTAAAAGTTAAAGTTAATAAACTTCATTTGTAGTCTACTCAATTCGAAAAAATTTTAGATCTGAAAAATATATACATTACAAACATGAACATAACTTTAAATCTAAAAAGTTTAGAAAATAGAATTTATAAAATAAATTAGTAGTAAATTATAGACATAGAGTTTGAATATGTAACTTTATTTAAATATAAAAAAAAAACACACACATTATAGATGTAAATCTTACAATTGTTTTTGTGGAAGAGAAAAAAACCATGGAAGAAAATACCTGCAAAATAAAGATGAAACTATAAAAAGCATAAGACAAATAATTAAAGTCATAACCTTGTAGACTTCATTAGAAGTCTATTATATATTAGATAATTTTCAGATCTGAAAATTTTATATATTTGAAAATGTGAATCTTTCATTTTTGGGAAAACTAGATAAAAACCATGGAAGAAAATATTAACAAAATAAAGATAAAATTATGAGAAAAAACATTATACATAAAAAAGTCACTTCTAGTTTTGTAGACTTCATTACAAGTCTACTATATCGGATAATTTTGAGATCTGGAAACTATGTACATGTGAAAATGTGAAATATAGTTTTTAATCTGAAAACAAAAGTTTAAAAATAGAATTTATAAGATAAAATATTAGCAAAGTAAATGCAAAGAGTTTGTATTTGTAACTTTATTTGAATATAAACATAATCCAAGACTTATATTTTTAGAGTGGAAGGTGATAACCATGAATTAACTTACAAACACAAGAGAATATTGTGAAAAAGACATTCTAGAAAAATTAACAAACTAAACAAAAAATTTATCTTTACCTTCAAAGAATTGAGAAATGAGAGAGTTTTAGAGAGAAGGGAGGGAGTTTTAAAGAGAAGTGGGATTTTTTTTAGAAACTTGTGCAGCCATTTTAGAGAGAGATTGTCTAAATTTCATCTATATAGGGAGACAAAAACTGTAACTAGGTAAAAAAATTTGATAATATAGACTTCTTTTGAAGTCTACTATAATTAAAATTTTGGAGTACACTTTATTGTAAGTTTACTTAGTAGAATTTTTTTGAAATCTACTACGACTATTTCAGTATTGTTACCTAATCAAAATATATTTGTTAAAATTGTTTAATTATATGAAATTTTAATTTATATACCTCATATTGATTCTTATATTGATTACCTAAAAGAAATTTCTGATAATTTATTTTTATATATTTTAAAAAAGAAAATTATAAGATTAACTTAGAATGTAGACTTCGTAATAAGTCTACAATACTGATTTCATGATAAGTCTATACACCTTGTATACTTCTCTCTATTAAATGTAGACTTCATAAGGATAAAATTGTAAAATAACATTCTGTTTTTTTGTTTAGTCATAAGGAGTAAATATACATTTCACTACCCCTTTAGGTTGGTTTTGCATTTGATTGAAATCGAGGTACACTTTTGCATTTGATATTAAATTTTAGGTTGTTTTTAGCAAATGTCCCAATAATCTTTAACCTCCGCTTAAATCATTTAATCTTAATTTTTTAAACGGTTCATTTTAAACCTTAATTTTAGTTTTTGTTGATCAAACCGTTTTAAATAATTGAAATGTCAACATTAAATTGATTTAGCGGCTGACTTTTTGTATAACTTAAATGGTTTGATTAACAAAAGTTTAGGATTAAAATGATCATTTTTAAAATTTGGAGACTAAATGATTTAAACAGAAATTCATATTTTGTTTCATGGAAAGATAGTTTTTAACGATTTTTTCTTTGAATTAGAAAAAAAAATAGTTATTTTTGGACTTGATTCTTTTTTTTTAAGAAAAATGTTAAGTTAAGTTAATTGCATTTCTCTCTCTTTGAGTTTACATTTTTC